CTCTAACCTCTTTTTTTTTTTTTTTCTTCCCCTCCCCCATGGGTTCCTGTTAAGTTTCTCAGGATCCACATAAGAGTGAAACCATATGGTATCTGTCTTTCTCTGTATGGCTTATTTCACTTAGCATCACACTCTCCAGTTCCATCCACGTTGCTACAAAAGGCCATATTTCATTTTTTCTCATTGGAGGAGGCTTCTCTTTTAAAAAAATTTTTTTAAACATTTATTCATTTTTGAGACAGAGACAGAGACAGAGCATGAACGGGGGAAGGTCAGAGAGAGAGGGAGACACAGAATCCGAAACAGGCTCCAGGCTCTGAGCTGTCAGCACAGAGCCCGACGCGGGGCTCGAACTCACAGACCGCGAGACCATCACCTGAGCCGAAGTTGGACGTCCAACCGACTGAGCCACCCAGGCGCCCCAAGGCTTCTCTTTTTAAAGAGCCCAGTGAGCTCTTGGCTGGATTTTCTTTTGGACTCTGCTCTACTTGGCATCAGGCCCTGCAAACTCCCGCCGAACACTCACTAACCGTGGTGGAACTCTCTCTCGTGTAAGGAGAGACTGAAATAGATGTGTGTTTGGAGGCTTACAAACGGAGTGTGATTCCACCACCGCGGACACCATCAAGGCCACCGACAACTGCATTTCCTGCCCTGTCTTGTGTTTTAAGAATGGGTTCCAAAATCTACAAGTCTGGGAGCCACCAGGCCACAGAGAAATAGAAATGAGGTGGGAAGAACAACAGATGTGGCTAGAAGGGAGAGCAGGGGCTGTTGGTGAGGGCTCTGCCTGTTACGCTAAAGCATTTGGTTTTTGAACAACTGAATGACACGGCTAAGTGGATAATCTAGAAAGTTCACTCAGCAGCTGATGCAAAGAATGGATTGGAGGACTGAGCTTGGAAGCAAAGAGGTTACTGCAGTGGCCCCGGTGAGAAGTGACATGGGCTGTAGGCGCGGGGGGCCAGACAGAAGGAATGAATTCAGGAGTCCAATTTGTCGTTATGTTCTCCTGTCCGTTAGACTGTAAACTCCATGAGGCACCATCGGGTCTGTCTGGCTCATTCTGTTAGCCCCGTGCCTAGGACAGGACCTGGCACATACCAGGTAGTTCATAAACACCCTGTTGAATAGATGAGTGATCAAGGACTTAGGAAGGAGGGACAGGTTGGGGACTAAGACGGTTAGGAAAGCCCCGTTTGGCGCATCCATGAAAAGCTCTGCAGCAGGCAGCTGTGAAGCTAGGTCCCGATTTCCGGACAGAGGAGAGCTGCGGCGGCAGTGGGAGTCACCTGTATAATCAGACCCTGGCAAAGAACTGAGAGCGCCTAGGCAGGAGGTTAACACCGAGGCTACCCTGCCAGTGAATTACCACGCAGGTTCCGTGGCTTCTCCCCAGACGTGATGGACCAGGAATCCGCAAGTGTAGCGCCTGCACGTAGCAGAGCAGGTGGGGCAAGAGGACAGCGGCAGGGGAGGTGACTTTGGGTGGCGCAGGGACGAGGCACGCCCGCGTCTCCGCCCCGCCGGGACCTTTGGTTACACTTGGCTCCGCGCCGCCACCCCTCCCGCCCTCCGATTGGCCACCGTCCCGCCCGCGCCCCCAGCCTCGGCCAATGGGGACGGCGCGCGCCGGAAGCCGGAAGCCCGGCGGCGCCGGCGTCCCTCAAGTAGCTGCCGCGCGGCGCCATGAGAGGCTTCTGGACAGCGCTGACGGCGCGCCGTCTCTTCCCCCTGCGGCTTCCTCCGCGGCCGCCCGGACCCCGGCTGTCGAGCGGGCCGGCGGCGGCGGAGGCGGGCGCCCTGGAGCGGGCCATGGACGAGCTGCTGCGCCGCGCAGTGCCCGCCACGCCGGCCTACGAGCTGCGCGAGAAGACGCCGGCGCCGGCCGAGGGCCAGTGCGCCGACTTCGTGAGCTTCTACGGCGGCCTGGCCGAGGCGGCCGAGCGCGCCGAGCTGCTGAGCCGCCTGGCGCGGGGCTTCGGCGTGGACCACGGCCAGGTGGCCGAGCAGAGCGCCGGCGTGCTCCAGCTGCGCCAGCAGCCGCGGGAGGCGGCCGTGCTGCTGCAGGCCGAGGACCGGCTGCGCTACGCGCTGGTGCCGCGCTACCGCGGCCTCTTCCACCACATCAGCAAGCTGGACGGCGGCGTGCGCTTCCTGGTGCGGCTGCGGGCCGACCTGCTCGAGGCGCAGGCGCTCAAGCTGGTGGAGGGGCCGCACGTCCGGGTAAGGCCTGGCCCCGGGCCGCCCCCAGCCTTGCACCAGGTCCTCGATCTTGATGGCCCTCCCCGGAGAGTCCTCACCTGCCCCTGCAGCCCCAAACACTCCACCTTCCCCAGCCCGAAGCCGCTCACACTTTGCCCAGAGTTACAGCCCCCTGAACCCCTGCCCCGTCCCCTTCCTTCCCAGGCTTTCTGAATCCCTGCCTGGTTCCACTCTTGACCCTTACTAGAGACTCAGCACCGCCTGCCTTTAACGTGACTGTCACTCCTCCTTCCTGGTTAGTGTGCTCCACGAAGTCTCTTTTTTACCGTTTTAGCTGGGAGTTTCCTGTATGCGGTATACTTGAACCAGTACCAAACCGAGCACCACGTAGCCTCCAAAAACCCAGGTGGTGTCAGCACACGTTAGCTGCACACTCGTTCTGTGTGTAAGCCTCGTTGTCTAAGAAACCCTTTGGAATGCACAAAGATGATGTCTCTGGGCTCTGCCGCCTGGCTGGGCAGGACATTTCACTTTCCTGAGTTCAGCCCTGAAATGTGATGATTCCAAGTTGAGTACTTGAGTAATCAGGTGCGTAGCACGGTGGGCTCATGTTGGATGCAAGTAAATACCGTAGGATTTAAAAAACGACACGAAAGATCTCCGATAGGCGAATATAGTGCTCTTATGCTATTGGTATTAAATACGAAAGGACCACTAACCTGCCCTTTTAGTGAACAACGACCAAAAAATGATGTAAATGTTTCAAGAAGCGTCTGATGTTCAGAACTTTTTAGGGTGCAGTTGGCTTTAAAAAATTGAGCAGTTGATCGGTTATGTCCTAATTCACTTAGAACTCTAACACTGGCACAGTAATTTTCATGTTCGTTGCCTTATTCTTACGTGGGTTAAGGAGACAGACACTGAGGGGGGGAAACTTGACCAAGAACTTAGAGCCAATAGATATGTCTCCGATCACCTACGCACATATTAAGTCTGGGGTTCTTCGTGGTACGCTTTATAACCACGTCCTGCTGCGGGAGTTATGGTGTTCACAAAAGACTTTATCTATGTGCCTAAAGATCGTGTATCGTTAAGGATGGGGTTCGCTTCAGTGATAATAGTGCTGTGAATTGATTACTCATGATGGCTGCTTAACTTATAATGCCAAGATCTGAATTGATCATGATTCTGGCTCAAGCCCGGTCTGAATGGCCGAGACTGTGTTCGACACACTGTGTGCATTCCCATCTGCTTGGGTCTAGTCTTCAATCCAAGCATACTTTATTTTTTTCTTGAAGCAGGGACCAACGCCCCATGGTGGTTTTTCTGAAACTTGATTCTTACTGCCTAGGAGACTGAAGAGTTGGGTAGAATGTCGCCTGTCCCAGAATGAAATCGTTTACCTGTCTGTCCATCCATCTGTGTGACTTGTGACCACTGGACATGGTCTTGGCACTAAGGTCACTCACTCGGTCCAGAAGCTTCCACTCTAGTACGGGAAGAGTTAGCAGCAGGCACGGTGATGGTAGGTGCCTCTCATGCACTTGCTCGTTTGCCAGCAAGCCATAGGGACCTGTTGTACAGAGGAAATGATTCAAGCTTGTCAAAGTCAAGTGCAGTGCCCAGGGTGCAGAGCCAGAACTCGAGCCCCGTCCTCATGACTCCCGAATTGTGTACTTTGTCGCTACACGTTGATTCTCAGAGTTGACGACTGGACTAGATCTGAAAGGGATTTGTTTTCTTAGAATCTGCCTTTTTCCACAAAATCAAGGGCAAGATGAGACAACCCGGTTAGTTAATGGGTTTGTTTTATTTAGTTTTACCAAATCAGTTTAGTATTCTCTGGTTGCGACTGCATTTGCTCTTTCCAAGAGTAAACGTAAACGTACAAACTTCCGTCTCATCACTAACCTCAGTGCTCATCTTTCTCTGACACCACAAGTCGGTCTTTACTCCCTTGAAGGCCGGAAGGACCAACATTTAATGTCTTTCTTTTGGCATTTTTGGCTTACGCCAAACCACCCTGGACATTGCCAGCCGTACCGTCCATTTCTCGCCCCTCTCCATAGAACCTCTGCGGCCACGCCGGCTCTTTGACGGAAAGTTCCTGAACACACATTCCTGCGCCATTCTTGCCTGGGAAGCCCGTTAGAGTAGGAGCTGCTCATCACTGAGCCTTTCCAACACTCCAGTGCAAGGTGGCCTTACCTGGTCTGGTGGTTCACAGGCTACGTTATTATTTGTGCACCTCACCTGCATTTTGTACCTTAACCACAGAATGTAGCATCTGAGATGTATTACTCTGCCAACCCTCCCCCACCCCAACTGGATAATCAGCCCCTTGGAGACCGGGAGCCTTGTCTTCAATGTCCAGCATAGCAAAATGCTGGATGATGCATGGGACGAGACTCCCAGGTCCTCCACCACAAGAGCAGGTCGGCACATACTGCTCCCAACTGTCTTGACATCAGACCGTTCCACGCAGAGCCTTGAGCCTGGAGGGAAGCCCAGAGGGCTTGGAAGGTTTCTGCACAGCCAACGGAGGTGTTGTGTCAGACACTTGGACTGCCGATTTCAGGCTGTTGGCCCCAGTGATTTCTGAGGTCCCATCCAGTTCTGAGTCCTCCGATTCTGTGAGATGTTACTGAATGTGTCCATGCCTTTGCTCTTCCCCACACGAGGAAAGGTGGCTGTCGTGCAGGCTGGGAGGTGGCAGCTGGAAGCTGTGACGTTGAGACTGGTTTGGGGGAGAGGGGCGTGCTCCAGGGAGATCCCAAGCTGCCAGCGACACCAGGCCCTCCGGGGTTCAGGCTTCCTTTGTTTTTTCAACCAAGGCTGCGCACACACAGAAGAAACATTGCATACCCACAGGCAGAAAGTCGTGTGGAGTAAAGATCTTTCTTGAACAAAGGATGACGACTGTAGCCTGACCTTTGCATCCGTGTGTGGTCTGGACACACTGGGTGCAAGACGCCTCTTCCAGGTGCTGAGTCACTCCTCTTGCCTTTCTCTGCCTGAAAATTCTGGCCTTGTATCTAGTGCATGTAACCGTTAGTGCTGAAGCCATGGATTTCCTTCTCCCGTGTCCCACGTAGTCACGTAACAGTTTTCTCAACCCCTGTCACTTAAGTCGTTCAGAGAATCAATCATCTTTTCTGTCCCTAGAAAATGTCACTGGGATCCGGCCTTGTACTCTATCGCCAGAATCACTTAGTGTGTGTACCGTGCTTTGACTCCGTTTCTTCTCCCACATTCTGGATTTTGCATCCAAGCTGATGAGGCGACGCAGCTAGAACTTTCTGCGTTTAGGAATACAGTGTCAGAAAGTACTGGAAGTTTGGCACGTGAAGCTTTAAGGCAGGAGTCTCGGGCGCCAGGGGCCTGGGGTGCCCCGTGATGCTGGGGGGGAGCAGGGAGCTGGCTCCGCCAGCGCCTCGGATCTCGGCACCCTTCACCGTGGGCACACAGCACCTCACCACAGCTGTGCTGCTCCCCGGCACCTGCTGACTTCCGGGCACGCTAGAGGAAGTCACGTGAACACGCTCCAGTTGCCGTGCGGGCTGCTACGGACTCAGCCCCGAGCATTTACCCCGGGATGTGTGTCTGCCACGTGCTCTCGGGTGCCGAGTCCCGTAGGGCGCCGTGGCATTTTCAGGAGAGCCAGCTAGCGTGAGGCCCACAGCCATGCTGATGGGGCGTCTCTGGCAGGACAGCGGAAGAAGCGCCGTGTGGAGATGGAAGGGGCCAGTTCCTGGTGCCCTCTTTGCCATCCACTGGGTACAGTCATGGTTTCTGGTGGTTTTAGCCCATTGGCCATGCGCCGACGTGAGAGGTTGCACCGGCGGCTGCTACGCTCAAGGTCAGCCTGCTGCTCTTCCAGGAAATGCTGTGAGGGTTGTTCAGCTTTGCTAAAAATAAGGTTTACAGACGAGGGCACGGTTTGTCCGGCTCTTGGTCTCTGCCCGGGGGTTGTGATTACTGGACGTCAGGCTGTGAGGATCAGTGCACGCTTGCTGTGTGTGTGGTCTAGATGCTTTTTGATTTTCTCCGGAGGCGTCTCCGAAGGCCTCTTGGGGTTGAAGAGTGCAGTTTCTCAGGGAGAAAGTCCCCCGTGAGGCTGAGTTGAGTCCATATTCTAGAAGGTCTGAGCACCGTCCAGCAGTTTGGGGACACCAGAGGGAAGTTGGCATTTAGAAAACCGAAGGGTTTCCTGATGGCAGTTTGAGCGGAGAAATTCCAGTGGGGTGAAAGGTGTGCAGGCCTTGACGGTGGGGAGGGGGCTAAACTCGTGCCAGACGGGCCGGCGTCCCCACCGTTGCGATGTCAGGCCACACCTGACACCTTGTCGTCCGGCCTCTTTTAGTGACATGTCCTGCTTTTCAGTGAACACAGAGGTCCTTGTTGGTTCTCCTAAATTTTGTGCTTAGCTAAACTAAAAAGTACCTTATTTGTAGTTCATCAAGGCTGCCCCAGTCGCCTGGGGTGGTGTCGGGGGGGGGGGGAGCCTCTATCAGTTGGAATCAGACCTAAAATGTCTTCGCTGTGGCCCTCTGACCCTGTCCTGTGCTTCGGGCCCGCTTGCCCAGCTCAGGGCTTCTGAGCAGTGACAACTAGCTTTTCTCCACATTCCGGACATCGGGAGATCTTGATAGCCAAAAACTCCAGAAGAGAGGGTGGGGGACCGCTTTTTCTCTGCCAGCAGGGGAGGCTGGCTGGCCTTCCGCTCAGTGTCCTCCAAGATGACAGGCGTCGGCGGGTCCGGAAGACGGAGCCCACGCTGACTGGCATCCCCGGCAGTTGTGAGTGGGAGTCTTGGATCGAACGCCTGACAACTGACGGCTGAATTGATGAGCGAGAAGCCTAGGCAGCTTCTCTCCCTCCTGCTGTCGGTGATCCCCCAGCCTTCGGGCCGCCGGTGCCTTCCAGCAGGGACAGCTGCGGCCGGTGGGCACTGAGCCTGGGGACGTGTGCCCTTTCACCTAGATACCCAGCTCTCATGGAGCAGTGTCACATTTCACAGCCGTCAGTAGCCCGAAATAGAACGAAGAGACCTTGGAGGGCGAGCTCTCATCAGCCAAGCCATTTCTTTCATAATTAATCCTGAATCGATACCGAAGCCAGGCATGTCCCACACTCTCCTGTTAGGGATGCGCCGGAGATGCCCGCACACCCTCCATGGAGTTCGGCCGATCCAGTCCCAACCGTCCAGTGTGGAGGTTCCTAGTCCGGCGTCTGTGAACCTCTGGAGATGATCCATAGATGAGTTTCACAGGCATCCACGATTCCCAGGAAACTGGGTGCAAAAACTGAGGAATGTGTGTGCTTTTTTTCTGGGGAGCAGGTCCGTGGTTTTTAGCAAGCACTCGAGCACGTGAAGACCCCGGGAAGTTTAAGAACCGCTGTGATCCGGGGTAGTGAATACAGTTGTATGAGCAGCCGTCTGTATGCCTGGCACTTGGCCTCTCTTGGCCTCCCTTCCTGCCCCTTCATCCTCTCCACTCTCTAGTCTGTCTCCCCTTTTTCGTTTGACATCAGTCTGTTAACCGTCCTCCACATGGGAGAGCCCGCTGAATGCCTCTGGATCCAGAGGTGTGAAGTCAAAGCCACGTCTGCCCTCACCGAGCGTGGAGCTGAGGGAGGGAGACCGGGTTATGGAATTCAGAGTTAAAGAGAATCGCAAAGGGCATCGGGTCCAGCCATTAAATCCTTAAAACGGCTCCACCAAATCCTCGTAAACCCTGCCCTTGGTCCCCGCTCGTGGTGACGTTCACTCTCCCCGGATAGCATCTGTGGTCAACCCTGGCTATTCCAGACTTCTCCTTTACGTTAAATTCGGTCCAAGTCTATCTGTCCGTGACTCCCCCTTGTTGGTCCTAAGTTTACCTCCCTCTTCGCCCCCATGGGGTCCCACAGAACAAATCAGTGGCTGGTTCTGTGCCCCAGGCCTTAAATATTTAAAGAGGGATCTTACTTCATTCTGAAAGCTTTTCAGAGCCACGAGCCCTTTATTTTACTTACTTCAAGCTTATCCTCCAGTGACACAGTTGTGAGTCCTTTCGTTTACCAGGGAATAAAATGTGGACATTTTTACAGCTTTTGTAGTGGTAGCTCTCTGTCAATTCTGTACTGGATATACTGAGATGTATGTTATTCTTCAGTAACATTCAGCGTATCTGTTAGTATGTAGTTCATCTGTGAATAACAGAGACCCGAAATAATGGTGGTTTGAATAAGACAGAAGTCTGTCTCTCATGTAAAAGTCTGGAGGTAGACACCCCAGGGCTGATTCTGTTCTGTGATGCCCTCAGTTGACACGAACTTCCGTCTGTTGTTCTCCCCGAAAAACCTTCCTCCCCAAAGTTACCTCATGGCCCAGGATGGCTGCTCCAGCTCTAGCCATCACATCACCTTCCAGGCTGCAGTGAGAGGAACAAAGAAAAGATGAGCAAAGGGCATGCTCCTGCCACGTTTACTTCTGCTTACATCTGTTTGGCCAGGACTCGCTCTTTTGACTGCCCCTGGCTGCAGTGTGATCTTGAACCTGGACAGCCATGTGCCTGCCTAAAGCATAAGACTTTTGTTGATTTGGAAGAAAAGGAAACAGTTGTTGAGGAACAACCAGCCGTGTCTGGTGCCCCGGCATCCTCTCGCTCGAGCCGTCAGGAAGCCTATTGCGGTTACATGTTCAGTGCGGTCACAGCGGGCTACACCGAGCTGGGTCTGCCCCTGCGCCCTCGCCTTGCCCTGGGTGCCTCCGGTTCCATTCTCGCTTGAAAGGTTTTTGGACGCACGTGTCTTGGGTGGTAAAGTTGGCTCCTCACTTCCGGAAGTAGACTAGATGTAATCAGTGAAGTGAACTTAGAATAATTTGATCAAATCTAAGGTCACCGATTGCCGGACACACTCTATTCTATGTCCCACTAAGGTAGAAAAAAATGCTACGAGTGAAGCGGTGACCCCGCCATCGTTTGCAAGAGGAATCCCGACTTCAGAGACGTTACACTATGAAAATGCGCACCTTTGAGTTGACGGATACGGTGCCCGGACCCCCAGTACTTGCCCCTCTCCGGAAACGAGAGACGTTTGGGCACGTCCCAGAATGTTCCCGAGAGGGGGAGGTCCTGATCCCCGCGCCCCCCGTGTTAGCGTTCCCTTCGTGGCGCACCAGCCGTCGCTCTGTCGACTTCGCGAGTTCAGTCGCGTTCACTGTGGCGCGTGTGCTGGAACACGCCGTCGATCGGGCAGCTTCGCTCAGATCGAAAGCTCCCGCTGAGGTCTTACTGACGGGGGTGGCCGGGCGGGGCGAGAGCCGGGTGCTGGCCACCTGGGTGGGGTGAGTCCCGCGGAGCTGTCACCGAGGAAGCCGTTGGGAGAAGCACCCCGCGGTCTGCTTTCGCGTCCCTCTTGCCTGCTTGATCCCCCCCGTGTCGGCTGGTGGTGGCACAGAGGCGCGCTGGCCGGCCTGTCCCCAGAAGCCAGCACTCTGTGTTCTCCCTTTCAGGAGATGAACGGAGTGCTGAAAGGCATGCTCTCAGAGTGGTTCTCTTCGGGGTTCCTGAGCCTGGAACGGGTCACCTGGCACTCGCCGTGTGAGGTCCTGCAGAAAATCAGCGAGTAAGTATTCAAGTTGTCACTTTTCCTGAACGGGAGCTGAAAGCCGGCCTCTGTCCGCGCGCGTTGTGGCCCAAGCACAACGTGTGTGGCCCGTGGTCAAGTGCACGGCCCGCCTCTCCCCACCCCCCGTTCTCAGAGCCACAGGGTCCCGCTGGGCCGACTCCTGGCGTTAGTGACCCCAACGGCATCTGCCTCCCGTAGTTGTGACAGCACCTCCCTGGCGTAAGTCTCTGGATGGGCTGTGTGGGGCGTGGTCCCCGCGTGCGCAGGACACGGCGAAGCCCGAGCGGTCCCCACGGACAGGAGCCGCTCTTCCCTCGCGGGTCTTGGTGCCCATGCCGTCTTATAGACACTGAGGCTCGCGAAAGGCTGCGCTTTGAAGCGTGACAAACCCGAGGGGCTCCCATTTGACACGTTGCAAACAACACGTGGCTGACGAGGCCGCTGGACAACCCGGGCTGCGTGTTTGCAGCACGGACTTCACGCCGCAGACTCGGAGGAGAGAGCGGCCGGGAGGTGCAAGCATCCTCAGGTCACCCGTGTCAGGATCTGCTTCCGGGGGCCTGCAAAGTAGCCTTGAGACCTAGTGTTAAGAAGCAGGGGGCAGTTTGTGGGTCCGAGGGTCATTAGCTGCTGTTCCTGTCAGCCAGCGCTGTTTCACATTAAAACGGTTCTCTTTGAATTTTCCTGGCAGGTCTGTTGAGGCTGCATGCGAAGGACGGATGGACTGTAGTGAGGACCGGGCCTCACTGACCGAGCCACCAAGGCTCCCTTGGCAGTATGCACAGGAACCGGCAGTGGTTACGTACCTTGCGAGCTGTCCCCCTGGCTTACTTCTTTCTGACTTTCCCCCAGGTCTGAGGCCGTGCATCCTGTGAAGAACTGGATGGATATGAAACGACGCGTCGGGCCTTACAGGAGGTGTTACTTCTTTTCTCACTGTGCAAGCCCCGAGGAGCCCTTGGTCGTGCTGCACGTGGCGCTGACCAACGAGATCTCCAGCAACATCCAGGTACCCGCGGACGGCCGGCTCAGGGCCGCGTCGCAGAGTGTCTGACGCTGTTTTAAACGTGGTTGTGTCCCCCCCGCCCCCTTGTGAAGTAGATTGCCCCAGGCATCTGTGGAGTTTTGAATCAGCTAGAGAAAATCTCCCGGTCTGTGGCTACAGAGTGTACACATGTCGTGTATAGACAGTTCCAGAACAAGGATGGCACTCCTCTGGGGACATCGACCTGCAGCTAAGACGTGGCTAAGGAAGGAAGGGTGCACCCTTCAACACTTTAGTGGTCGTTAAGGGGCCCCGGGGCCGGGTTTCAAGACCCGTGGCTACAACACTGAAAATCAGACCGTGCGGCGTGCCTGAGGTGGGCCCAGAGCTCAGCCCGGGGAGCCGAGGGGCCGGGACCCTGTTTGGCAGGCGCTGCCTGCTCTGGGTGGATGGAAGGAGCGGATCCCTCCTGCTGGGGCTGGAGAAGAACCAGTGCGGGGGCTGGGAGCAGGGGCCTGACCACGGGGAGGGTGAAGCAGGCGAGGGAGCGGAGACCCCGGGGCACTTGGGGCTTGTCAGAGCGCGGGGCCCGGTGGGCTGCGGCTCTGGGTCCGGGATGGCCGGTCCGGAAGCTGGAAAGACAATACCAGATCCCAGGATGGGCATCCAGGCAGCCTTTCGTGGTATCAGAAGGTGGAGAGACCAAGCAGGGCAAGCGGGCGGGTGTTCTTGACCTCCACGGAGAAAGTCCCTCGTGAATGTTGCGTTTGTGGGACCCGCACGCACTGGAAGCTGCCACAGCCTCTCTGAGGGCAGTTTGGCGATGTCTGTGAACATAGAAGACGTGCGTTCTGTGCGACCTACAATCTCCACTCTGGGGAGTTCTCCCTACGTGATGCTCAGACCTGGGAGCGTGGACAGTTGCTCACTGTCCGGGTCTTGAACGGCCGGAAATTCAGGCTCCAGGCCGGCACGTTCAGTGTGCACTTAAGCATATAGGGATCGAGCATTTGCTGGGTGCCCGTCAGCTCATGAGCCATGTCCCCGCGTCCCTGCTCATGCCACCCTGGGCATTCAGCGTTTCTCCTGTTATTCTTGTCCTCATGGACGCGAGGAGACTGAGGCTTAAGGTAACTTGGGAGATCTGCCCACGATCCCAGTACCAGTAAGGGTGAGACCGGGGTTCCACCCCAGCGCTCAGGGCGTGGGAGAATGGGGCGCATGGGCGCGGGGAAAGAGCGCGTGCACAGGGTGTGCGTGTGTGCGTGTGTGTGTGTGTGTGTGTGTGTGTTGAAGTGTGCACGCACCTACGCCAATGGGACCGACTGGAAGGTGTTCACCGGAAGGTTAACAGCAGGACTTGGTTTGGGAATAACTTGTGATTTCTTCCTCATGCGTACACGTTTTGCCTCGTTGACATCATGCAGTCTCTTGTATAACCAAAGAAAGATTCATTTGTGTTTTGAAAACTTTAAAAAAAAAGGCTTGCTGGAAAATTTTGAGCAAGGAACACAAGGTAACCCGCAGCATTCCAGAAAGACAGCGGAGGCGACCTCACACGGTGAAGAGTGGGCATGAGGCAGAGGTGCGTCCTGACCCAGGTGGCACCGAGCTGTCAGAGCGCGGCCCCGGGGGGTGTCCGTGGCCCTTTGTCCCCATCCACCCCGCCTTCCTACAGCAGCGGCGTTCTTAGCTCTTCAGAAGCCACAGGAAAGACCCTTTGAGCATCTCCAGGGGGTGAAAGCTCAAGGGTGTCGTCCCCCGGGGGACACGCACAGACCCGCACATTCCACACACAATTTCACAAAGCTCGTGGACTCCCAGACCTCGTGGAGGGAACACCCCCGCTGCCAGAATTGGGTGTCGCTGGTGGAAGTTAGCAGCTTAGATGCGTTCTGGGAAGCAAGCTGGTGCACCTGCCTCGAAGCAAACTGGAGGTCCCCGCCTGCCGTTCCGCTGTTGTCCGGTGACCTTCAGAGCGTTGAGGTTCAGAAAACCACACCCAGAACTCAGAGCTAATAACATCAGCCTTGGCTAGGGGACTTCCCAGTAGGAGTCTTTCTGCATTACTTCGTGTGCGTGTCTGTGCGGATGTGTGTTTTCCCCAAGGAAAAACAAGGACGTAGCGCAAAATCAAAAGGGTACAGAAAGGTGAACTTGCTGAGAGAAAGACCTTATGGGATTGCGTGTGGCCTGTTGGGAAATCTGAAAGCCCAGAGTTCAGAGACAAGGAACGAGAATGACTGCAGGGTAGAACGGTCAGGCCCACGCAGGGCAGCCACGGAGAGGGAGGCGCTGGCCTACCAGCCGGGTCAGCAGGTCATGTCTGGTGCTGGTGGGGAGGAGACTCATCCGTCTCTGACCACGCAGAGGCCCGGAAAAGGCGAAGGGAACACGCATTGCTTGTTGAGCAGTTCGTTGCGATAGAAACAGTGCAGGGGGAGCAAACAACCCAGGGAGGCCGTGCGTTGCCGCCTCCGGAGAGGTCTCAAACCGGAACAGGCCTTGGGTCTCGAGAGCCGAGGCCCCGAACAGGGCCGAGGTCTCCGGGCTCCCATCCTCGCTGGCTTCTCCCGGCCCCGAGAGGTAGGGCAGGCGTGGGAAGCGGGGGGCCCAAGCCCACCGTGACCACCGTGGTGTTTTCCAGGCCATAGTGAAGGAGTGTCCCCCGTCGGAGACCGAGGAGGGGAGCCAGATCTCTGCGGCCATCTTCTACTCCATCAGCCTGACGCAGCCCGGACTGCAGGGGGTAGAGCTGGGCACCTTCCTCGTCAAGCGAGTGCTCAAGGAGCTGCAGGTGGGAACGGTGCGGGGGCAGGGGGTGTCAGCCCCTGGGGACGGGGGACGAGAGGGGATCTAGAGGGAGGTAAGAGAGGTGGAAAGGGCCAGATGGCCCTTGGCACGTTCTAGGCTCCCCGAGGACACTCAGGACGGAGGCAGTGCCGAGGTTAGACCCGGCAGCTTGGGGGCAGATATGCTGGCTTTTTTTTTTTTTTTTTTTTTTTTTTTTTTTTTGTAATAACTTCTGTCCGTTATTCTGGGAAAAGCCCCTCGCCATCCTACAGCAGAAACACTCAGGTTCTGTCTGGGTCTAGCTTTTTGAAACTCTCTCCTAAGGGGCTTGAGTGAGCCGCAATGGGCAGAATCTAATTAAAGGTAAAATAATTAGGTTGCTAATAATTGGCTCTGAGAGTGGTATCCTCCTATTTGCGTGGTTTCAGCAGTGTCGCTGCAGCAGAAACCCTTCCGTGGAGAGTGACACAGTGGAATTAAAACGTCAGCGTGCTTTGCATTAAATTCATAATCAATCTTAAATCTGAGAACTCAGGGTTCAGCAGGCGATCAGCGTCATTAGAATCACTCTCTGTCACTTCTTCCCTGGAGGCGATAAGGAGCCACATCTAATTAATTTTAAGTTTCTTCTTTGCTGAGGTGTTGATGAATGGGGTGGGGGGCAGGGGCGTATTGGTGAGAAAGGAGGAGTCGGAGGTTCACCCGCAGAGTCGGTTTCTGAATCGGTCAGATTTGGCCCCTCAGCCCAGTAGCCATCCTCGTGGCTGGTCACAGCACCCCGCCGTGAGCCAGAAAGTCACCAGAGAGAATCCCAAAAAGCCGTGTCACTCTTCTGCACGAGAGTGTTCATCGCGGTTTATAAAGGCAGACCCTCGAGAGGAACACGGTTAGGAGAACCCTGGTACAGTCTTAACTTTTACTCTGTTAAGTTATTTGTTTGGATTCTGAATGAAAAGGAGAAAATTGTCACAACGTAAGTTCAGAAAGCAGGGATAGAAGTTAAAGGCCTCGCCCGCGTAAAAACCGGAGAAAGACGGAGTTACACTTTATCAACCCTGGAGACTAAGTTATCTCAAGTTGTGGACGATGGTAGTTTTGGGGTTTTTTTTTTTCCTTCCATCATACATTAAAAAAATTCACCTGTAGTGACCATCAATTACATTTTTAATCAGAAAATGCTGGGTTTAAAAAAAAAAAAAAACTTGTCCTTGAGATGTCGCTGTAATTTGAACATGAACTGTCCTGTCTGCTATGGAGAAACCCCCGGTGCCCCCCCGCCTTCTGGCCCACAGTCCACACCCACTGTGGGCTAGCTCTGCAAGCGATGATTTGTTCAGTACACGGTCACCGGGTAAAATGGCAGGCCGGGCTGTGTGGCCACAGAGCAGTCCCCGGGAGGGGCACGGCAGACCAGATGCTCCGGAGATGCGGTCACAGGACTGCGTGCCCCACTTCTCAGCAGCAGCCCATGTCAGGCGGGGCCCCTGACTGGCCATTCTGACAGGTGGCATGGGCAGGGCAGCCGTCGTAGAGGCTCGCCTTGGGGACTCAGGGTATCTCTAGGGGCTGGCATATGTCAGGTTCTTCATAAATGCCCCTCGAAAGGAGAAAATGCACCCCAGAGGGCACGTGGTAAACCGCAGAGCGACATGCAGCGCTTAATGGTGCGCGAATGACACGTGGAGAGGCGTTTCCGTCTCGGTGACATGCCTGCTGAGTTGCGTGTGTGTGTTCTCTCCACCTTCCCTTCCCCACCCACCGTGCCCTACAGAGAGAGTTTCCTCATCTCGGGACGTTCTCAAGTCTGTCTCCTATCCCCGGCTTCACCAAGTGGCTTCTGGGGCTCCTGAACTCACAAGCAAAGGAACACGGGAGGAGTGAACTGCTCACAGATTCCGAATGTAAAGAAATCTCGGAGATCCTAGGCGGTCCCGTTAACGAGACCCTCAAGGTCTCACTCAGCAGCAGCGAGTGGGTGAAGTCTGAGAAGCTGGTCAGGGTGCTGCAGACCCCCTTGATGAGGCTCTGTGCCTGGTACTTGTACGGAGAGAAGCACCGGGGCTACGCCCTGAACCCCGTGGCAAACTTCCACCTGCAGAACGGGGCTGTGCTGTGGCGCCTCAACTGGCTGGCCGACACGAGCCTCAAGGGCGTCACCGGCTCCTGCGGCCTGATGGTCAACTACCGGTACTACCTGGAGGAGACGGCCGCCAACAGCACCAGCTACCTCTGCGCCAAGAACATCAAGGCTTCCGAGCAGGTGCTCAGCCTCGTGGCCCAGTTTCACAAGAATAGCAAACTTTAAACCTGCTCTCAAGCAATGTCTCTGACTCAGAAAAGGATAATTTTCTGGATGGGTTGGGGGGGGGTTGGGGTGGCGGATTATGGATCAAAAGAGGCTTTTTTAGTAAAGCAGAGTTGAAGTGCGCTCTCCTGCCCAGAGCAGGGCCGCACCGGAAGGCTGTGTCCTAACTCCCATCGCGAGAGAGCGAAGGCGTGGTGCCTGGAGCGCGATGGGGGCTCCGGTGGACGCGGGGTGGGTGGGTGTGCTCTCCCCAGAAGAGCGGCCTGGCCCGCTGCCAGAGGGGGTGCGGTGGCACCTCCATCTTTAGAAAGGTCTAGAGTCTCTGCTGGCTGTCGTCCCGCGGCGGACCGGGCAGCCTCGCGAGGACCCCGGCAGGTGGCCCAGGTGAGAGTAGATGTTCCCTCGAGCTTAGAATGTGATTCAGCCGTGGTTGTCTTAGCCGATTCTCTCCACTCGCCGCACGGGGATAGCGGGCTGTGCTCCATTTCGCTTAGATTTGGGAGACGCTGAATGTATGAAAGTGTTGGTGACTACACACCGTTTGCCAAAATCGCCGAGCACGCAAGGCGTGGTTGCCTGGGGCTTAAACCGGATCGGAGACGAAGACTGCGGTGCTGCAGGCTTCCAGTGATCCTCGTAGTACAGAACGGTTTTGTTCTGCGAAGCATTAAATACGTGGTTATTTAAGACGGTGTGTGTGGTCACCTCCGAGAGCCGAGACCCCACGGGCTGGGCGTGTGCGGGTGTCCCGTGAAGGAGAGCGTGAGGACAGAGAGGCAGGGAGGGGCGGTGTCCGGGGCTGTGGGAGGGGCGGGGTGTCCGTGTGTGCGTGTCCTCACTCCTGCAGACGGGTCCCCCAGCCTTCCGTGCCCTTCATCTTCCAGACCCGACCCCCGGTCCTTGTGCGTCACCTCCCACGTGGGGCTGCTGCCTGATCATGAACGGCGTGACGGTGGTCGCCACTAGAAATTTCTCTCTCTCTCTGGATCCCGGGGGCAGCGTTCTGGTGCTGCTCCACTTGGCCCCCAGCTAATCTAGTGCTTGGGCTCTGGAGCCCCACCAGGCCCGGGGTCCTCGCCCTCGAGGGGCTCGGGGAGAGTTCTTCCAGAGCTGCCTGCCTGAGACCCCAACCCTGCACCCCCGCGTTTCACACCTTCTCGCATTATTTAGCCTCCTCTTGCACAACTTTTCAAACCAAATACACAGAAGCGGACAGGATAGCCTAATGAGCCCACGTGCCTGTCACCCGGCTCCTGCCACACCCAGTGGTGGTTTTTTCTTGTCAAGGCTCTTGTCATGACTCCTCTCCGGCACTTCGTCAGATGGGCCGGCTGGCCAGCCAGGCGGATGTGGGTGGTGCAGTGCTCTGAGTGTTGTAGCCCCCCAAATTCCTATCTCGAACCCTCCCCACCGAAGGTGATGGTGTTAGGAGGTGGGGATTGGTGCCCTTCACAAGAAGCCCCACGGAGCCCCCGGCCCCTTCTACCATGTGAGGTCAGAAGACGGCCCTCCCGCGGCCGTGCTAGCACCCTGACCTTGGATCTCCAGCCTCCACTCGGTCGGTGATATTTTGTCACAGCAGCCCAGGCGGCCTGCCATGGATGGACGTGGGTGGGTGGGTGTCCTGTCTCCGGGTGTCAGTCCAAGTCACCGAAGGGAGGGAGCCGGGCCGCCTCGTGGTGCCGCGCTGGGCCGACGCTCGCCTCACACCTTGTGTGCTACCGTCTGTTCAACCCCACGGCCCCCAGGAGGGCAGAGGCGGCTCAAACGGCCCGGCTCACCGCTCCCTGTGAGGGACGACCAGACCGCCCAGGTGTACATATGTCATCCTTTGCAAAATAGCCCCGCAGCGGTGGGTTCGGAGGGCTGCAGCAGGTCACTGGATTCCAGCGTTGTGAATTTACGTCCCGCTGGTCCCCGCCCACCACCCAGGTGACGTTGTTACACGGGGGACGCGGTAGCCGCGGGTGTAGGTGCTGTCTCCCGGACCTGGGCTCCAGCGCGCTTGCTCTCAGGGAACCCTGGACAACCCCTCAGACCACAGTGTCTTCCCCTGCAAAGTGCCCACAGAGGGGACATACTCACAGCAGGTGCTCAGTACGTGACTGTCCTTGGGTTCCATAGCGCGCCAGGTTCAGGCCTGAAGCTGTGCTCCGCGCCCCCCAACCATAGAGCCTGCTCTCCCTCCGTGTCCCCCACCTTCCCCTTCAGACCCCCTCTGAGGAGAGGCTCTGCTCCCCTCCCCCTGAACCGCTGGTCAGAGCCCCGATACCTTCGTCTCGCTGCTTGGGGGTCTGTGCTTCAGACACCCCCCCCCCGCTTCCCCCCTCCCCCCGTCTCTCTCCACAAGGGGTTTGCCACAGGCTCAGTCCTCAGGTCTGCTAGAGATAGGGTTAATTCTGATTCGGGGATGCTGACGGTCTTGGGACCGACCCGCTCACACTTGCTCGTGGCCCCATCCTGTTCTGAAAGGCAGTGCGCGGCCTCACGGCTGGGGCCTCCTGGCCTCGCTTTCCTCGGTCTCCCCATCTGTACACGGGGGAGCCACAGCACACGGGTACGCCAGGGCTGCTGCGAAGCCCGGAGGAGGGGACCACCATCATGCTCACCTGGGTATAGGTTCCGGATCCTGTCATCCCCTTATCTGGAAATTAGAATGACGGTTTTGTGGCTTCTGTTGACCATTTCTAGGGGTGACCAAGTGGCGTAATTTGTTCCCCGGGGAAGAAGAGGCGGGAACTTCCAAGGCCGGGGAGTCACTGATGCCTGCTTGCTCTTTCTCCCTCTCTCCACCACCCCTCCCTCTCCCCTCTCCCCTTCCTCCTGCCCTCCCTCCCTCTGTCCTCTCTCAGGGCAGGACCTCCACTGCCCTCTGGATCAAGAGCCACTAAGGGCTTGCACAGCTCTGCCCTCCCTTGGGCATCCGGGGGCATTACACCCCAGCAAGGGGGAGTGCTTTCTCCTTAGTCTGTATGTGGCCCGGAGGGGGGGGGGGGGGAGGAATCTCCTAACATTTTTGCAAGGATCAGCTCATTCTGGGCTTTGTTTGAAATGAAGCATTAGTCATATTTGAGATTTAAATGGAGGGAATGTCTCTCAGATTTTTAATTGGATTCTAGAGCCCTCATTGGAATATGAAGTCCATTTCGATCTGTTAGAACGGACAGCTGCCCCATGGCTTCCATTCACCACAGACAGTTTCTGCATTATTTGCAATTAGCAAAATTGACGGAGGGGATCCCAGGTCTCCCTCCTGCCTTTGTGTTTTGTTTCCAAATGCATTTGCGCGTCTCATGTCGTTAATTTCGGAGCATCCAGGAAAGAAGCAAGAAATAGCATTTATCTCCGCTCCGGGCCCCATGTTCTCCCGACCTCCCGACCGTGAAGCCTGAGGGAGTGTCTCTCATTTACAGACAAGGAAACTGAGGCTCCGGGAGGGCCGAGCAGCTGGTGAGGGAGGAGCGGGGAGGCCCAGGGCCTGGCCAGGGCCCGAGTCTGCCTCCCCACCGCACTGACCCACCTCCGGGGAACAGCTACAGAGAGGAGACACCCAGCCACCTGGCAGGAGTGACAGGGGACAGAGTCGGAAAGGCAGCCGGGCCGGTGAGGTGACAAGGACAAGGAATGTCAGGACACTGAGGTTCTGGCAAAGAGGGATGGGTCCCGGGCAGGACTCTCCCAAAGCGTAAATCATTTACATGATTTACATTGTTCGGTTTTGTGACCTATCTATCCCAGCTGCAAACCAGCGGGTAAGGCAGGTGCTGCCGTGGGCCGGCCGCCCATCCCGGGGGATCCCGAGGGGGCAGGACAAACCCGAAGCAGAGCTCCGGGCTGGGTTCCACCAACACAGTTGCTGAGCAAGAGAAGCCAGTCACTCAGGAGATGAGGGATGCGTTTCGGGTGCCAGCAGTGTGGGGTGGGGAGGTGGGAGGCTCGAGCCTCAACCACCCAGCTCTCCCCCCCGCGAGATGGACACATAGAGTTTTACGGGAAGAGGCGTGGGGATGGGTACGTGCGAAACAGGCAGGGAGCGTGACATGGGCGGGGCGGTGTCTGCTCAGCGCTCCAAAGGGGGCGTGTGGCGTGGGATCGTCCAGGCATTCTGCCTCTGTCAGGGCTTTCCGGGCCTGGTGATTGGAATGTTTCAGCCACTGCACAACACTGTCAGTGCCCCCAAGAAAGCGCGATAGGAAATGGCGGTGGGTTCGGAGGTCTTGTCTCTTTCTGGTTTTGGCTGTTGGCGTCTCCAGTGGAACTAGAGGCCTCGCCGATGTTTACCTGCACGGCAGGGACGGATGCCCAGCGACAGCTAGTTCTGGGCGGAAGGAACCGGGGCTCAGGAGCCGCGAGCAGAGGTGGGGCCGCCCGCACACAGCGGGGCATGTGGACCAGCCAACCCCGGGAGAGGCCTGCCTCCCACCCACCCGGGGCCCCGTCTCCCCTCCTCCTCCGGCTCTGGCCGGGCCCGCTGGGCCTCTGCCACAGACATCGCGTCCCTGGGTCACTCTGGTCACCCCGACTCCATCCTGGCCAGGGCAGGACGGTGGTGGCCCTGCTTGGAGACAGGAAACAGGTCCTCTGGGACGTCCGGCCGGAGGCTGGCCCTCTCTGTGGTGCCCTCCGGCCACTGCCCTTACTAGCAGTGAGCCGCCAAAAGGCCAGAGGAGTTCCTAGCAGGATGAGGGAGGGGCGAGCCTAGCCCGAGACGGGGACAGAGGCCGAAAGCCCCAGGTCTTCCTGTGGTGCCTGGCGCATGGAAGGGCCCAGTACGTACTCCCCATCCACTGGAGAAGCGCACTTCTCACTGCGGCTTGCCAGACGGCACATCCCGCCTGCGAGGTTCAGCCCTGCCTGGTAACCGGCAGGGGTGGAGGGCGACCCAGGGGCCGCCTTAAGAGGGGTCAGACTGCCCCGAGGGGGGACTGGCCACGCCCTCCAGGAGGCCGAGTCCAGCAGGTGCCCTGTGGGCAGCAGTCCCGACTGCGGGGTTCCCCAGACACTGTCCGGGCCCTGAAGGACACGTGCTCTCCTGGCCGGCCTGCTGCCTCCCCAGCCCTACAGATCACTCAAGGCCTGGTCCCAGGAGCCCCTTCCTTCCCTTGGAGGGTCTCCTCTCCACCCACGTCTTCATGAGGACAGCACGGACCCTGGTCCCCCTGGCCTGGAGCAGTCTCTGAGGCGCTGTGGTCCTGGAACAGCTGCCAAGACGGCGACCCCTCCCCTCCCTCTCAGAAGTGGCCCAGTTTGGACAGTCACCTCTGTGGCCGCCCACCGACGATGTGTGTGTGTGTGTGTGTGTGTGTGTGTGTGTGTGTGGACAGCGCAGTGCTCCGGACACGAGCGTGTGCCTCGACGTCCCGCGTGTCCCTGCCATCCTGCGGACTCCGCGTGGTCACGGCTGCGTGCAGACCCTCCACAACCAGCTCTTCACCCCTTTCCGGTGAGGCCATCCCCAGCCATCCAGCCTGTCACCCTGCCCAGAGCGTGCTGTCCCCATGCTCCTCCCCCACGTCCCACCTGCACCCCGGGATCCAGCCCGGGCTGCATCCTGTCTCTGTCAACTCCTGCAAGAAATAACCTCCCCCCTGGCCTGTGTCTATGCAGGACGCTTCCAGATCTGTTTCCACCTCAGCACACAGTTGCCATTTGAAATGCAAATCAGACCTATCCTCCCCGCTCCTCCC